GAATATAATATACAAGTTTCACTTTTTAAATGGAATTACTGAAATAAATCTACTTTTTCATGATATTCTAATTTTATGACCAGCACCTGTACATCTTGTTTGTGACTACACGTTTCAGTGTGCGCGGTGCCGGCACCGCAGCCATCAACATGTGCCTGGTGGCTTCAGGCTGTGTTGAGGGCTACTATGAGATTGGGGTCCATGTGTGGGACATTGCTGCAGGGTCACTGGTGGTTTCAGAAGCTGGAGGAGTGCTGATGGACGTGGACGGTAAGGACAGTTTAGCAGCACCTTTTGGTACTTGCTGCTGGCCGTCTCTGAATGATGTTTTTGTGTTCAGGGGGAGAATTGGACCTGATGTCCAGGAGAATAATAGCTGCTAACAACAGAAGCATTGCAGAAAGACTGGTGAAAGAGATCACCCCCTTCAGGCCTCCTAGAGATGATTCTCCACCTCAGAAACTGTAACCACTTTCTTTGTTTTCACTTATAAACTTATTCTTTTAAACAAAACATCAGTGTTTTCATTTGGTCTCAGTGCTGGTGATGGGTCAGACCAGTGACTCGTAAGTGTTTCATACAGATTCAGTTCAGTTCAGTTTATTTACAGTAAATAGCACCAAGTCACAACTGTTGTCTCAGGGCACTGTACATAAAAACAACACAATAAATCTAAAGAAGCAGCAGACTGCACAGAATCTTTGCTTCATCACAGTCTCCATCCTGAGCAGCACACCTGCAGCAGAGAGGAAAAACTCCCTGCTAATCAGGAAGAAACCTCCAGCAGAACCAGGCTCAGGACAGGAGACCATCTGCCTCGACCGGCTGCTTGGAGGACAGGAAAGAGACAGACTGACACAGGACTGGTCCAGGTGTGTTTTCCTCTGGAAGAGAGACAAAGAAAACACGTTATTGATAAAAGTAATTATAACAAGCATGTAGAGGAGAGAGACAAAGACAACAGCAGAGTGAGGACATGTGGACAATACAGATCCACCTGTTTTATATGAGTGTTCATGAAATTTAAACAAAAAGTAAATCTAGAAACTTCTGGGTTCTTAGGGAGCTCCAACATCCATGTGCTTTCTTCTCTAAAGCCCAAAAGAACTTTAAGACTTGCTTTTATAATCATCTATAAAACATTTAGACATTTACCCTCTCCCTGGGCTGCCACCACATGGTGGTGGAGAGGTTTGAGTGTCCCAATGATCCTAGGAGCTATGTTGTCAGGGGCTTCATGCCCCCAGTAGGGTCACCCAAGGCAAACAGGTCCTAGGTGAGGGATCAGACAAAGTGGAGCCCAAAGACCCCTATGGTGAGTACCATAAATGGAGTCGGTGTTCCCTCACCCGTACGTGGGTCACCGGGGCTCCACTCTGGAGCCAGGCCTGGAGGTGGGGCACGTTGGTGAGAGTCTGGTGGCCGGGCTTTCACCCATGGAGACTGGTCGGGCACAGCCCGAAGAGGAGACGTGGGTCCCCCTTCCCATGGGCTCACCACCTGTAGGAGGGGTCGGATGCAATGTGTGTTGGGCAGTGGTCGAAGGTGAGTCCGATCCTCGGCTACAGAAGCTGGCTCTAGGGACGTGCAATGTCACCTCTCTGGTGGGGAAGGAGCCTGAGCTGGTGTGTGAGGCTGAGAGGGTCAGACTAGATATAGTTGGACTCACCTCGACGCACCGCTCTGGCTCTGGAACCAGTCTCCTCCAGAGGGGTTGGACACTCTTCCACTCTGGAGTTGCCCATGCTGAGAGGCACCGAGCAGGAGTGGGCATACTTATTGCCCCACCATCTTGGTGCCTGTACGTTGGGGTTCACCTCGGTGAACGAGAGGGTAGCCTCCCTCCGCCTACGTGTGGGGGCACGGGTCCTGACTGTTGTTTGTGCCTATGAGCCTAACAGCAGTTCAGATTACCACCCTTTCTGGAGTCCTTAGAGGAGGTGCTGGAGAGTGCTCCTAACGGGGACTCCCTTGTTCTGCTGGAGGACTTCAACGCTCACGTGGGTGATGACAGTGAGACCTGGAGAGGCGTGGTTGGGAGGAATGACCCCCCCCTGATTTGAACCTGAGAGGTGTTTTGTTGTTGGACTTCTGTGCTCATCATGGATTGTCCATAACCAACACCATGTTCAAACATAAGGGTGTCCAGATGTGCTCTTGGCACCAGGACACCCTAGGCCGCAGTTCGATGATCGACTGTTGTTGTTTCATCTGATCTGCAGCTGCATGTTTTGGACACTCAGGTGAAGAGAGGGGCGGAGCTGTCAACTGACCACTACCTGGTGGTGAGGTGGCTCCGATGGTGGGGAGGATGGTGGTCAGACCTGACAGACCCAAACGTATAGTGAGGGTCTGCTGGGAACGTCAGTCAGAGTCTCCCATCAGACGGAGCTTCAACTCACACCTCCAGGAGAACTTTGAACACGTTCCGGGGGAGGTGGGGGACATTGAGTCTGAGTGGGCCATGTTCTGTACCTCCATTGTTGAGGCGACTTACCTGAGCTGTGGTTGTCGGTGCCTGTCATGGTGACAACCCTCGAACCCGCTGGTGGACACCGGCGGTGAGGGATGCTGTCAGGCTGAAGAAGGAGTCCTATCAGGTCTTTGTGGCCTGTGGGACTCTGGAAGCAGCCGATAGTTATCAGCAATCCAAGCGGATTGCGGCTCGAGTGGTTGCTGAGGCAAAAACTTGGGCATGGGAGGAGTTCAGAGAGGCCATGGAAAAAGACTTCCGTACGGCTTCGAGGTGATTCTGGTCCACCATCCAGCGTCTCGGGGGGTGCGGGGGGAGCAGTTCACCACCAACACTGTTTATGGTGGGGATGGTGCGCTGCTCACCTCAACTCGGTACGTTGTGGTTCGGTGGGCAGAATACTTTGAAGACCTCCTCAATCCTACCAATGTCTTCCTATGAGGAAGCAGAGCCTGAGGACCCTGGGTCGGACTCTCCAATGTCTGGTGCCGAGGTCACTGAGGTGGTCAAAAAGCTCCTCGGTGGCAGGGCGCGGGGGGTGGATGAGATTCACCCAGAGTTCCTTAAGGCTCTGGATGTTGTGGGGTTGTGTTGGTTGATGCAACTCTACAATATCATGTGGACATCGGGCGCAGTTCCTCTGGATTGGCAGACCGGGGTGGTGGTCCCCCTATATAAAAAGGGGGACCACAGAGTGTGTACCAACTATAGGGGGATCACACTTCTGAGCCTCCCTGGTCAGGTCTATTCACGGGTCCTGGAGAGGAGGGTCCATTAGATAGTTGAATCTCAGATTCAGGAAGAGAAGTGTGGTGTTCGTCACACACACACACACACACACAGACACACACACACACAGACACACACACACAGACACACACAGACATCCTTTTACTTGCATCAAACTGAAAACATTGTATTGACTTCCATTCATTTCTGTAACAATTTATGTCTAACCCAGACATTTTCCTTAAAATTAATCATTACTGGTCTGTAGTTAACTCTAACCTGAACCAGATCTATAGTTAACTCTAACCTGAACCAGATCTATAGTTAACTCTAACCTGAACCAGATCTATAGTTAACTCTAACCTGAACAGATCTATAGTTAACTCTAACCTGAACAGATCTATAGTTAACTCTAACCTGAACCAGATCTATAGTTAACTCTAACCTGAACCAGATCTATAGTTAACTCTAACCTGAACCAGATCTAT